ATTCTATTCTATTCTATTCTATTCTATTCTATTCTATTCTATTCTATTCTATTCTATTCTATTCTATCTTCAGCATTTACTTTATATATATTGATCAATCTTGTTTAAAAATGTCAAGGACTTATGAAGATGTAATATGATTAAAAATGTGCAACAAGCAGTTAAATATGGTTAGAATTTGTAGCAGCATTTAAACATATATTAAAAATATTCAACAGAAAGTGTGTTAATAGTCTATAGTATAAATGTTTTTTGAAATGCCTCATTTATGCATAAAATTAGATCATTGTAAAATCGTTGTTATAAATTGAGGGTARAACCCTAAAATTTAAGTATGTTTTTTTTTTTTTATAAACAGCCCATCTGTGTTCTTCATGCACAGTATTTAGGTCATCATGCCTGTAATTTTGGACCTTCATGCTTTTTTATTTTTTTTTTGTTTCAAATCCTTTTAACAGCTCTTATTGTCAAAGGTTTAGCGGCTTAATTAAGAACTCCTCTGATTTTTCACGCACTCCTTATTATAACCAGTCCCTTAATGTGATACAGAAATCTGATTTTATTTTCTTCATAACAGACTCATGAAGAGACCCTACATTAGAGAACATATTTGTACAGATACAAACAACTTTATTATTCAACTTGTTTTATTTTATGGAGACTTAAAAATTAGAAAATTTTAAATTATGCTTTTGGTCATAAATGACTTTGCAATATGATCACAGTTTATAAGTTTACTCTGAGATACACTTAGCACAARACATAAGAACATTTGTGTTTGGTAGATTATTTCTTTATTGGTGCAATGCTTCTTTGTAATAAATCTCATACCGGGCACCTGAGTGGCAGCACCTGGAGGTACCAGAAGCTCAAAACAAGCACCAATAACATCAAAATAATCTGTTTGGCAGAGAAGATTTGGCCAATTTTTCATGTCTGCAACCCACATACTCAGCTCTACTGCTCATCGCACAAATGTATGTTCCTTACAAATGTGGCACCATTTAAAAGAAAAATAACAGGTTGTGAAGCATTGTTACACCAAATAAATMATCTACAAAACACTAATTTCCTTACTTTTTAAGCAAAGTTTATCTGTATCTGTAGTCTGTCTGTAAAAGAAAGGTGTGTGTGGGGTGGGGACACACACATTTCTCATTTTTGGAGCTGTTTGGTCATGTAAAAACTTATTATTATTATAACTATATATTCTATCAGACTGAGAAAGTGAGCCAACTTTGTTGGGAAAATGAATTTAAAACTGAAAGTTTTTCATAAAAAAAGAACAAATATTTCAGAGAGGAAGATTCCATCTGTCTTTGCAGAAGCTGCAACTATTACATCTGTGTCAGATCGCTCTTATCTGATGTCTGCGGTTCCTGCTGGGCAAACATATGACTGTTTTTCCGTTCATGTTTTGTGTTCTTTATGAGCTGCAACCCAGGGATGGATACGCTTCAGGATTTCCCTAAAGGCTGTGGAAGAACTGATCCCACAYTCGTCAGACAGAGGGAGACACTTGAATTCTCAGGAAAATCTCAAAAACTGAAACTTGGAACAGTCAGGGGTATTTAAGCTGTGATTAAAATTTAAAACTGGCAAACAATCAAGCTGTGGCCCAAAAACAGCTGAAGTGGAAATATAATAGAGCTGCACACGAATGAACTGAAAGTCTTACATGTATTATTCTAAATAAACATAAAATCATTAATACACTGTGTCACACCTTTGTATAAAATGTCCTCAGAAAAATGATGGAGTATATTTGGAATGATCAAAAGAAAATCCACTCCTTGAACTCAGGTTCTCCTCATGCTTATCCAAAAAGAAAAAAAAAGAAATGAAACTCTAACCTGATCCCTCACATCCTCCTCAATAAATAATAATCTGAAGGATCTGATTAAAAAAATGAGACCCAGTTTGTCAGATTTTTCATCTGTGGCAGGTTGCATTTTCTGGGCACAAAAGCTCTCCAGACACGCCGACACAATCATCAAACATGTAAATCAAACAAAGCATCTGAAGCCAACACTTACAGCTGGAGCGACAGGGGACACCTCCATGAGCCGGTGCGGGTTGATGGAGCTGATGTTCCAGGGCATTCGGCCGGTCGGGTCCGGTGTGGGAATCACCGGTCCGACGTGGAGCCTAGAATCCATCAGAGCGGTTGGAGGTAGGTGTGTGTGTGTGTGTGTGTGTGTGTGTGTGTGTGTGTGTGTGTGTGTGTGTGTGTGTGTGTGT